TAATCCCAACACAAAAGGGAATATATATTTATGAATATGAAATCACAATGCATTGTTTTTTTTTTCTATAAATCATAATCTAGTCATACAAAAAATATGTGACATAAATGTCAACAGAATTTCGTTAACAAGAAACATAAATAAAGTTTTTCTTATATATTTTTCCATATTTTTTTTATACTTAAAAAAAAGACGGCTAAAGCCCATTTACGTAACTTGAAAAAATCCTTTTATATGATTTGCCTGGCTGTGCCTTTGACCCGTCAAGCCGGAATTACTGTAATGCTATTGTTTCCAAAAATACTTGAAAAAACTGTTCAGACAATCTCACCTCGATTTTGTTTTTCCAACGCATTACCTTGTACAAAGAAAATATCTATACAGTATGTGTGTGTGCACATATGTATACACATTTATGTATAGATATATGTATACACATGAACATATATACATATATATGTATATACACACATGCATATATTCATAAACATATATATAATATATATATATATATATATATATATATATATATATATATATATATATATATATATATATATATATATGAACATGTATACATAGTATATACACACATACATATATTCACAAACACACACACACACATATATATCTATTACACACGCGTGCACGCACACACACACACATCATTATGCATATAAAACTAGTCATCCCGTAATTATTTATGTGGCTGCAAAATATATTTGTGAAAGGTATTACTTCTAAGGTGTGGAGGAGAGCTTAATGTTTAATTTCAGATTTATTTGCAAAATGTATACATATTTGATAATGTATCTTTCTTGTATTTTCTATTCCAGGCATTTGCTTTATTATGCTTTATATTTTCAGTAATTGTTTTCAATACCTCAAATTAACAAAGATAGTAATAGTTATTTTAAAAAGTTCTCTGACCATGCCATTACTTTTGGCAGGTGGGATATTTTTTTGCAAATCCCTGTTCAAGTTCCCTTCTATAAAATTACGGTATTGGAGAGCCTCTGGTGTTACATATAAACTGCCAAATGCCATCAACTTATCATTAGACACTACAGAAGACCTATCAGTAAGAAACTGACGGAAAACTTAACAGGCCATTTTCTATATAATTATCGTACCAGTGTGCCCTTCAGACTTAACTAGATTTTTCTTGTGAATACCCTAGTTAATTCTGCTATTTTCCGAGAGTCGTCAACGTCATTACAATCAGTTTCTAATAAACATTTATTGATTTATAAAATTGGCCCTAAGCAAAAGGCTCACAAGATTGCCGGTGCATATCGGTTATTTGGAAAGTTTCAAAAGATTATCGTAAGTGACAGTGAAATGCCTCTGGAAATCTGTTTGCATTGGGGTAATCCTTGTTGTCTCCGTGATTGCACTGTAGAACACACACGTTTTTACTGCTATCATTTTTTGTTATGGAAAATATCAATACATTTCAGCCATTTGACATTGAGAAAAACTGAAAACACCAACCTTTTACTGTGGAGATGCTCCCAATGCTGCTCAGAATTCATGCGTGTGATATGATCGATGCACTCTGGAAATGTTAATTTGATAGATATATTAGAATTCTAGCTTGTATTAACAGGTGGGCTACGCTGACGGAGGAATGGCTTCACATTAGTGAAGTCGAAAGTTTAAAAAAAAATAGCCCACAATGCCGACAAGATGCCACTGGCACCAAAGAACAATTATGTCCGCCTCGCTTTCCCTAAAGGCACGATGAAATCGGAAAAAAATGAAATGGCTACGGAACCTCGGCAACAACCCTTCGACCTTGGGGGTACATCCTCGACCTTGTGCAAGGAGACATTCCTCCTCACTGTATGTGTCTGTCCCTCGCTCCCAGCACCGTCTTATCCTTGCAGTGCTGCAGGAAAAGAGAGTACTACAGATGCACCAGCCTTTGCCCCACCATGCTTCAGGTGTGGGATGACAGGGGTGACTGCCAGGCACAGAGGGCGCACAACCTTCCCTTCCCTAGTCCCTCCCCTTCCACCCCCTGTGGTCCCAGCACCGACCGCGAGTGACCAGAGAGGCTCTCCCAGCCCAAAAACGTGCCGGGAGAGCGCCCGACCGTGCCCTGTGTGATGTCACCAGTTGCAGAGATGACTGGGGGTGCGGAGGCCACTGAACTATGCGACAAGGTTGCGCAGCTGGAGAAATTGAACAAGATGATGTTGATCCTCACAGAGGGTATCT